AAAAAAATTAATTATTCCATATTAGAAACATTTTCTTCTGATAAACTTAAACCATAATCAAGAATTAAATAACCAACTTCTTCTTCTTCTTCTTCTTCTTCTTCTTCTTCTTCTTCTTCTTCTTCTTCTTCTTCTTCTTCTTATTATTATTATTATTATCATTATTAATTGACTATATTATAAATTTGGTTTCCAAATTTAGATATGAACATTTAATATGATGTATTACCATCATCATCATCATCAACGTGATAGTTAATATTTACCTATTTTTCTCTGCTTCTAGATTTTCTCTCATCTGCTTCTGCAAGTAGATCCTGTACGTAGGTACGTTTTAATTTCATCAATTCAACTTTCTATTTTAAAAAATTAGTTCATTATGGTTCAAATTACTTGTAAGTTGTCATTTTTTATGATTCTATTGTGCATTTTGATAATATTGTAGTGATGAAGACTTGACAGCAAGTTGAATTCATGGAATAATTCTCATTTTAATGCAAGTGCATTAAATAATAAAAAAGAATTAAATTTCACATAGAAAAATCCTCCCAATATGAGGGGAAAATCACCGAAAAGGAAAGGAAAAAAAATCTACTATTAAAAAAGAATTATAATATTATAAGAGAAAAGTAAAAATTAAGGTATTTTGATATTTAAAATATTAAATTTTTTTATAAAATTATTTAAATATTTTTATTAATGATTTATTAATTCGAATGAAATAATTTTGAAATTAAATTTTGTAAATAAAGAGATAATTAATAAAAAAATTTCTTTTTTATAAAATTTGATACGGTTAAATTTCAAATTAATTGAGATTTAAAGTGTGTGTTATGGATATTGACAGGTTTAATACCAAAAATTTAAATACCCTAATTGATAATCTTTCTTGGTACCCTTTTATATGATAATCTCCTGTAATTACTCACAAATTTCTATACCCACGCAGGCTCCCTATTCAGAGTCAAAACCAAGAAAACTAGGGACTAAACATAAGGTGATATTTGAGATTGCCATAAAATAATATAACTTCAACTTTTTTTAATATTTTATTATAAAAAGTATGTACGTGTATAAACTCATTGCCAAGTTTAGTCAATGGATTGAGCAAGGTGGCGGAGGGTCTAATAGTGTAACCCAGTCGGCATTTATCGAAGAAAGACTATTGATGAACAGTGATATAGGTGGTAAATGAAACTGTTGATGAGATTAAACTGAAGAAACGAATTCATTTTCAGAACAAACTTTGAAAAAGCTTTTAACAAGCTCTCTTAGAATAATTATTTTAGAAATAGTCTTCTATTAATATAAATTATCAAATTATACAAAATATCAATTTAATTTAATTTAATTTTAATAAATTAAGAATTTTATGAGCTGTGGTATAAAAAGCGCTGTGAAAAAGAATACAAACGCAACAACAATCCCTGCACAAACAAATTCACGGTAAGATTCCACCAAACGAGCCTCATAAACGGAGTGCTATCGGGAGATCCCCACACCTTAGCACCAAGAGGAGGAAAGAGGAAACCCCAACGGAGACGGACGTTGCAGCCTTTTATCGCTCCAGTCGTGTCAAGCCCATTGGGATATTCAGCGCAAAAGACCCCTTGCCGGTATTACAGGGAAAACGCACAAACCTAAGTAGGAGGCGGGTTACCGCGCCGGCCAAAGAGGAAAAAGGGCATAAAGTATGAAACAAAACAAAAGCAAGAAATGGGAATAAAACAAAGCAAAAGGAAAAGAAACTGGATTAAAAGGTACTCAAATTAAGGGTAAGAATAGGAAAGAGGGAAAAGACTATTTGTTTAAACCCCATTTTTGAAACCCATTTTTGGTTTAAACCCACCTGGAATAAAAACAAATCAAAGGAATTTTTTTTTTTTTTTTTTGGGTTAGAAACTTAAAGGAGAAAAATATTTGAAAGGTTTTTTTTCTTAATTAATAATGTATGTACAATAACTTATAAGTATTTACAAAAAAAATATATTCTAAATTATATATAAAATATTTACAAGAGAATATTTTAAGATATAAAATATTTACAATAAATATGAATGGTGGGAATAAAATATGAATAGTTGATTATCAATTATCATGTTCAAATCTTAACACTCCCTCAAACTCATGGTGATTGTGGTGAGACCAATTGGAGTTTGGAAAGAAGAGTACAAAAGCATCCACAAAAATGAGCTTTGGTAAAAAGATTTATCAATTGATCAACATAACCAATGAAAACCAAATGAACAGTTCCTTGTGTAACATGATGGCAAAGTGCTAGTCAACCTCAATGTGTTTAGTGCATTCATGAAAGACATCATTATGAGCAATTTGCATAATACTTTGATTATCATAGTAGAGATTAGTAGTGGGTGGTTGACGATCTTCACGTAGCCAACATAAATTAAGTAACTTCAATTTAGTGTCTCGAAGTGCTTGATGCTTGACCTCTATGCTAGAATGAGATGAAATTGTCTATTTCTTACTACACCGAGAGATTAAGGAAGGATAATGATGCATGCACACTCTCACACCACACACTTCGTTACACCCTTCAATTTTCGTTATTTTACAGTTAATCACACTTAACTTCATTACCATCTCCTCAGCCATCTCCCAACTCACCAAACCCTTTCTGTGCTCACTAGATCCATCTTCCTCCTCACATCCATCTTTATCCTAATCATCTGCAAGACAATTGCCAACCTCTCCCAGGTTCCCATCTTCTTCCTTTTTTCTTTTTTCTCTTTTTTTTTCTTTCGTTTTTTTGGAGAACTCGTTCTGGAGAACTCAACCTAGGTTCTTTGAGAACCCAAACCTGGGTTCTTCTTGGAGAACCTAGATCGGGTTCTTGTTCTCCTGGAGAACCTGATTTGGGTTCTCCAAGAAGAACCCAGACTGGGCTCTCTTGGAGAACCCGATTTGGGTTCTCTCAAGAACCCGAGAGAAAAAAAAAAAAAAAAGGAAGAAGGTGGGAAGACAGTGTGTGAAGTGGAGACTAATGAAGTGTGAAAGTTAACGGAAAAAGGAGTGTGTAACGGGAGTGTGGTACAAATGTGTGTGTGCCAATCGGTCCATTAAGGAATCACCAAGAAAAAGACAATAACTAGTAGTGGATTTACGATCATTAAGGTCTTCAACCCAATCAACATCAGAGTAAGCATGAAGTTCAAGAGATGAATGAGCAAAAAAGTGAAGTCCATGAAACATGATACCTTTAATACAGTGAATAATGCGAAGTATTGCTGCATCTTGAGTGGAGAGAGACACTATCATAAACTAAGAACCATCCATGGGTGTAAGTCAAACATTTGGTTTAAAAGGAGTAGATGCAGTCTTACTGTCAATGAGTCTAGCTTTAGATATCATATCAGAAGCATATTTTGTTTGGGAGAGAAGATAACCATAATCAAAGAAGTGACCTTAAATCCCAAGAAATAGCTCAAAACACTAAGATCCTTTATCTCAAACTTATGATTGAGAGATTGTTTAAGATCATGAATTCCTAAAATATCATCCCTAGGAATTATTATATCATTAACATAAAGAAGCGATAGAACCATATCATGATTAGTCTTGTGTATGAACAGTACAGTATCTTAAGGACTAAAAAGAGAACCAAATTCACTGATGATGGTACTAAACTTGGCAAACTAGGCTCAAGGTGCTTGCTTCAAACCATATAGAGCTTGCTTCAATCGACAAACCTTGTTCAGAGGATGCTCAAGGCAAGGAAGTGGTTTCATATAAACTTCTTCTACAAGATCAACATTTAGATAAACATTTTTCACATTTATCTAAAATAATTTCAAATTTTGCCACCTCCAGGATTTGAACACAAGACTTAAAAAGAGATATTGATAGACTTTTGCCACTAGGACATCACTTGCAATTGTGATATGATCCCCTCAAAATTTTATTTATTTTATTTTTGGTTAGCTTCCCATGTATAGCTCCTCGCCCAATGTAAAGGGCAATATCGATGACTTTCCTAATAATTAATATAGTATTTATCTAATTTTTATTTTAAATATATAAATTAAAAATGTAATAAATATAAATTTTTATAAATAATTTACATAAAAAAATTATAAAAATTGATATTTA